CCCCAAAACCCCAAAACCCCAAAACCCCAAAACCCCAAAACCCCAGATTTTAAGATTGAAAATAAATATTGTTAATTAATAAATAAATACGTTAATTAGTTGATTTAAGACCTTTTTCTGGTAATTAATGCATCTTCATTTCTTTCTATCGGTCTTGACTTTCTTTGATTTCTTTTTATCACCATCTTTCTTTTTAATCTTCTTCTCTTTCTATTTCTTTTCCTCCTCACTGTCTTCATCATCTTCCATGTCATTATCATCTTCTTCTTCATCAACTTCCACTTCCTTCAAAAGATCTTTCTTAAGTGATGGAGTAAAATGATCTTTAACTTATTCATTCTCTTCAATGTCCCAGACTGCAATCTCTCCTTTAGATCCACCTGCAGCAAGCACCCAGGGAATGTCTTTGTAGAATGACAAACTGAAAAGTTCGCCCATTCCCATCTTTCTATAGCCTACTAGTTTTGGCTAAGGCTGACTGGTAATATCCCAGAGTTTAACATATTCATCAAGTGAGCAAGTTGCCATTATATTTGGAATGAAGGCACTCAAAGCAACATTAGTGCAAGTCTTTTCATGAGCTTGGAACTCAAAGAGACACTCCTTTGGTTGCCTGATATCATAACCTTACACTATACCACTTTCAGTTGAGATGACAAAGTTATGTTCGTATGTTGGATGCCATTGGGCAGACTCAAGGTCTTTAACTTCTTTCTTTAATCTGAATTTAAGAGCATTTTCTCCAACTGGCTGTTATCTAACATCCACAACATTCAACACTCTATCATAGCCTCCAGTAAGCAACAATGATTCATTCTATGAATTCCATCTGACAACTTAGACCTTATTTTTATGTAGATTAGTAAAGGTGGCTTTGCATGCTTATTCCTCTAAGTCCCAAATACGTACAGTAGTGTCTGCTGATCCTGAGGCCAAATATTCAGATTAAAATGGATTAAGGGATAAGGTCATGACTGCATCTGTGTGAGACTCAGAGTTATACTATTGCTACTCGGCCTACTTATTGAATTTAGTGACAAGAGTCTTCTTCTTCTTCTTTTTGCTGCCTTCAGCACCCTCTGGCAAGCCACCTAAGGTAAATAAGGGTTCACAGTCCTCTTTGTTTAGGTCCCAAACTTCTATCTCTGGTAGGAATGTACCAACAACTACTAAATTTGTCTTTTATCCACCTAATTGACCTAGCCATTCCATACAGAGTGGGTAAGAGCTAAGAATGATTTCATGATGCACGTAGAGATCACTAGTCTTGTGATCGTAAACGTAGACCTCTAGATTACTATGATCATTCTCAGCTGTGGCAGCTATGATCAAAGCATCTGACTTTCTAATAGTATAGTCTTCTTTTTCCTCTTCAGAATCTTCTAGTACTTCTGGATAGTTATCCCTATTGTTCTTTTTCTCACCCGCGCCTTCTTGGTCATCCCCAAATGAACTGACTGACTCAGAGGAGCCTTCCTCCATATCGTCTTAATCATCATTATCCATATTTTGATCTCCCTTTAATATTTTCAACTCAGAGGTAAAAACTGGAACATCTAAACATTAAGTTGTGAATATCAGATGCTGATTAATATATGCTATTCTTTTAGAAACTTACTTTCTTCTTCATCATACTTATCTAAGTCCATCATCTCCATATTCTCCTAGATTTCATTGGTAATGTCCTTATAGTCTTTTCCCTTCCCTCTGCATTAATAGTTAGAATTTTAGATAAATAATTACAATTGCTTGTTGATTTCTTTAAATACTTATTGCTCCTTGCTTGATGGCTCATATTCATCTATGACTGCCTTAGCATAGCCTCTTGACACCCAGCAGAGTGAAGTAATAATTGCGGAATCTGCCATTGTATAATTATTAATTAGTTAACTTGATGAAGTCTTTTATTATTAAATAATATATAGTATTTATTAAATTAAGCTTAATAGCTTTATATACAATTCACATTCACTTCAATTATTGCAGTCCATTTCTATATAAGAAATGATAAATGATTTTACTTCTTTCATTTATTTAATTGCATCATCAATTCAATTTCAATGTGCATTCTACTTTAATGATTGATTATCTGTCTTACTATTAATTTTTCTTTAATTCCCACAATTTCTGCAGAATTTGTCATTTTGTTAAAACTAGAACAGACACTTATAGCAAAGTAACTCCTTATTTAGTTTTATATTTACTCTTTTAGATAAATGTTACTTATGAATTTCATTTTGATTATTCTAATAAGGTTAAAATGAATTGTTGTTATGAGATTTCAATTGGTTAGATTTATTCACTCTTAATTGTGATAAGCTGCTTAAATTAATTCTGTGTAATTTCTAGGGCTTATTTTAAATCTAATTACAAACATCTTGATGCCTCAATCCTGCTCTTAAACTGAATGATCTTAAACAATTTTTACATTTATAGTGTTCACAGAATTATTAAGATCTTGCTATAATACTATTTTCTCTTCTGCTATAATTCCTTAAATTGATAGAAGGTGAAAGTGAATCTAAAGAGTTATTTTATCATAAGTAAGATTGATTGATGCTTTCATAATTTTTAATATGACTCTACTAATATGGATTGATATCTTTGGTACTCTAAACCTATCTAAATTTTTCTGATATTTATATATTCCTGGAATTTCATGAAAACGATTTAATTTTCAAACGTATACTATCCATACTTTCAACTTCGTCATTATATTCTTTCATTTAATTTTCATCTTTCTCCTTTAAGTGAGTATATTGTGCATCAATGATATTTTTTTATTTTTTCTAAGGGAATTATTGACAGGTTATTTTAGAACAGTCCAATTATGCATTATTGCTAAATTCTGGATTAGCCTTAAGATAATTACTTACTTACTCTTCTCTCTAATTCAAAGCCTGAGGGACTAATTGCTTTTTTATTTTAATCTATTTTATAGGGCTGATATATTATCTTTATGGCGATCGTTATTCAGAAGAGTTAAAGATCTCTCTTTTCTTGTTTGCAATGTGACAAATTTTAGAATGTCTCTCTATCAAATGACTGAAGAATTTTCTTTTGCAATTAAGACACTAACTCATTTCATAATCATATCTTGTTACAGTATTGAATACATAATCTGAAGAAGATGTTTATGCTTGAAATGAAAGGTCTATATTTATTATGCTTGGTAAAATAATTGTACTACCTACGTCATTCATTGCTTATTTATTTGCTTCATAAGGTGAATAAGTATCCTCTAAATTTGTAACTTAAATACTCTGAATGCTTTTAAAATCAGACATATTCTAATTCATTTTATCATAATCTTGAGTGAAACTTAATTCATTCATAATATTAGTTGATCAACTTGAGCTAAGTCTATTTGTTGGTGAATTTGATTTTTACCGAGTAAGGGCAGCATTTAGAAGCATTTTTTATGTTTCTTAAATGCCCAGAAGTTTCAACTAGATATCTGATAGAACAGAATCATCAATAGACTTATTTGAGATGATTGATCAGTTAGAATTTAATTTCTTGTTATCAATTTTGTACTCACTATAGGATTCACTTATTGGATTTCTATATAGATCAATATTTTTCAACTGATATTTGGATAGTGTATAATTGTCCTGCATCTATCTACTTAAAAGTTTATAAGCTTTAACTTAATTAATAATAAAGTTTTACAAATATTCTTGTTTATTGCATAGTATATTATTAAATTAAGACTTGTTTAATCAGCGATAAATATTTACATTTTTTAATTTCATTAATTTAAAATGGCTACTAAATCACAAAAACTTCAATCGTTCTCTCAAGACAATGACAAGATTTTAATGCGGATTAAGGAATTAGAAGCAAAGTTTAAGTAATTTGATCAGCAATCAGTACTGCCTGTTTTGAAAAAGACTCTAGCAGATCATGAGTCCTCTTACCAGGATATAAATTTACTAAGAAATAATAAGCATTTATGTCCAGAGGAAATACAACTAAAGATGCAAAATAAACTAGCGATATTGATAAATGAAAACAAGAAGATAGACAAACAACTGTAGATAAATCAAACTGAACTAAGAAGGAATAGAGAAAAAATTGAAAGAGGTTAGTAAAATCTAGCTTTATAATGACTATTATAGATAAGAGGGCTCTGGATGATGTAAGGAATTAAAATGAACACATGCGCAAAAATCTTGAATAGGAAAGGGATTCGAATCAAAGGTATCAGCAAGAAATTGATAAGCTAGAGCAATCAATCAATGAAAAAAAATAAGGATCATATATGATGTTTAAAAAGACCCTTGAAACACTGTATAATAGATCTAAAGAATATGAAGTAAAAATTTAAATTAATATTTTTAGACTGAATGCTAAAAGAAGGGTAAGCCGTGCAAAGTTTACAGTCATCTATATTAGGAAGCCTAGCAAGAGGAGTCAAAGATATTAGTTATTCAGGAGGAGATTGATAGCTAGCACTAAATCTATAAAGAAGTTCATCAGAAATATAAAGAGTAAATAGGACTTCATTAGGACAACCTAACAGATTAGAAAAATTATAATAAAAGGAAATTTGAAGATATGAGATAAAAAGCTCGAGAGCTTAGTGAGCATGAAGAGGACTTCAAACGTAGATTTGTTTCATAATCAAGATAAAACCAAAAGAATAAATAAAGATCAGAACAAATAGAAAAAGAAATCATGAGAACAATGGAAAAGAAAAATTATCTTGAAAAGGAAATTCAGGAGGTAAATAAGTAAAAAGAAAACTAGAAACTCATTAAAGATAACCTACATGAGGAGGTGACTTAGTTCAGAAAAGAAACTAACGATATGGATGATAGAAGAAAGAATTTATGCCTTAATTTTCAGGATCCCACTTTTACCATTATCAAAAAATGATAGGGTCTTAACCCGGATTTCATAATGAAAACCTAAAGTGTGAAAGTTTTTGTAGAGGGTCAGTAAATTTATTGGAATAATTTAATCATTGATTTTATCAATTCATTATATAGTTCCATTTTCTATCTAGAGGGGTTTTGGGGTTTTGGGGTTTTGGGG